AAGTATAAAACACAATTTTACACATTTAGTAAGGTTTGAAATTGAACTTAAAAGACTTGGAGTAATAATTTGATATCCGATTAATTGAATCGAATATACTTTAGAAAATCATTTGTAAAATCTTAAAATTCATTTAAACTAATTTGTTATATCGAAACAAAAATGTTTTCAACAATAATGTAGTCCTTTAGGGGGAAAAAGGGAAAAAAATAATATATCAAGGAACCTTGTATAAGAGGATGAAGAAGAAAGAAATGAAGGTGAATAAGAATAACGAAAGGAAGCATCGGAACTTTCGATTCAAGTGAACGAAAGGAAGCATCGACACTTTTGATTCAAGTCGAACGGAATGAAGCATCGGCACTTTCGATTCAAATCGAACGGAAGGAGGCGTCGCATTTTCGATTCAAGTGTTCATCTTTTCATCAAGATTATTGTGAAAGTAGGGAGAATGTTAGAAATTAGTTGTAATTAGTTTTTAGAGCTCGCTGTGTACTTGCTTGTACTCTAGTATAGCTAGTAATAGTTGGTTAGCTTTGACACCACAAAGCTATTAGTTTGTTAGCAGATTTGTTAACTTAACATACTTGTTAACTTAACATACTTGTTTTATGAGCTATAAAAAACAGTGTATTAGCAAGTGTGTTAATCAATGAATTCAGTCTATTTTTCAGCATATACATTTTACAATACTAGAACACTTCCTCTCGTGAAAGTCTATGCATGAGATCCTCTCTAGGTCGACTGAATTCTTGTAGAGTCGTAGCATTCATAGGGTGTTGAAGTAAAGTGTTAAGCCGGTGACGTAATGCATGGATCCCATTTTAATTTTCTACACGTTTATCTTGTTGGCATTCATAAAGTTGAGCACCAACTGCATTGATTTTTGATGTGGTGGGGCCGGAAGAAGCACTTCGTGCAGCTTAGACTCTTTGCAAACAATCGGCTTCATCTTTCCAACAATCTTCAAACCCAAAAAAATCAGCCCGTCGCGGGGAAAGAAGTGGTGCAGAGGGTGAAGTATCCAGCAAAATAAAGCAATGGTCAGAAGTATGCATAAATTCACTGATCACAAAGCAGTTGGAGTAACGAGATAGTCAGGATGGGTTCCCTACAAACCAATCAAACCGCTCAGTGATCCTGACAGAAGTAGAACTTCCTTTGTACCAGGTAAGCCATCCCCTATTAGATCGAATATCCCAAAGGTTATTTCTATTAAGGCATTCCCGAAAAGCAGACATATCAGCCCATGATCTCCGTCCCCTTCCTGATTTTTCCGTTTCAAGAAGAATTTCGTTAAAATGTCCACCCAATAACCACAGAAGACTAGAGTGCGATTGAAGGGTGTCGAGTAAGGACCATGTTTCAAAATGACGACGCCAGTCACTATTGCCATGTAAACTACTGAATAAAGGTATTGTCCTCCACATGGACTACAACATCGATATGTGCACAGAGTAGGAAAGAAGATCAACTTGAATCGAAGATTTAAGCCCAGTACAACACCAAACCACTGCATCCTGGTGTACTTGGTGAACAAATGCAACCCACCATCTTCAGAAGATTTTTAAGTGATTCCGTCCGCGAAGATTGGAGGCAAGATTCGTAGAGGAACAATAGCTTAGGATCTTTTCGAGCAACTAGGTGCTCCAAAGATTGAACAGTTCGAGGGTTCTCAAGCCCCTGACGGTTTCAGCTTAAGATTTTCATAATGATCGGTGGGTTGATCCTCAGCCTCCGCCGAAACAAGAGTATCGGGGTGAGTATCATTGGTCACCGAAGAGGACCGAGATAGCTTTGTCGGACGTGAACGGACGCGCTTAGAAGGAGTAGCACCCTTACTTGATGTATTGGTCGCCGCAGAACATTTAAAGGATCTCACAATCTTAGAACGTGGCCCTGTGGATTTTCCATTAGAAATTGTAGGAGCGGGTTGTATGCCAAGTATGACCAAACTAGAGGATCCCAATTTATCATACTGATTAGTAACAGTAGAGACAACCTGTGATGGAGATGGTTGTGATGCAGCCATTGGAGTAGGTGTAGCTGCTTGATGTTTAGGAATTAATACCACCATGCCAGTCCAAGGTCGAACAGAAGGTCCTTGGTCTGGAGGGGAAGGTACACGAAGCCAATCCCCAAACTGATAGTCAGTAGACGAAGTGTCTCCAGCACGGGGACAAGAGGTTAAGACATGATCGATGATACCACACCGAAAGCAGAAATTTGGCAGCCTCTCATATTTCAGCATACACAACATGGGATTCCCATTCTGGCATCGATCAATCTCAAGACAACTACGAAGAGGTTATAAGATGTTAATAATCACTCGGACACGAAGATACGAACCCAATCTGCCTGCACTCAATCGTAGATCGATAGCAACAGGTGTGCCTAGATGAGCACCAATGAGTCGACCCATGGACTCATTCATCCATCCGAGGGGAACCTCATAGACACGAACCCATATGGGAAGGTGAGTGAAGTCAAAATCACGTAAGTTGCAGTGTGAATCATACGGAGCAAGAGCGAAAAAATTGCCATTAAAGAACTAGGGTGAGCGATCAAGGACAAACCGTTGTGCCTCCTCCGAATGAAAGAATATCATAAAGTGTTTGTCACTTGCGAATAAATCGCCATTAAAGTACCAGGGTGAGCGATCAAGTTATAATCTTTATTATATATATTATCGAAGAAAAACTAAAATATCCATAAAGTTGTCCTTGGATATATATTCATAAGATTTAACTATTGCATAGATAGACCAAAAGCACAAATATAAAACATAAGAGCCATGTTCCATACAGATAGACTTACACATATCTATCGTATGAGGCTTTATTTTGTCGCAGCAAGCATCAGATTATATCTTGAGTAGATGCAGTGGGACACATACATGCATCATGATCAAAAGTTCATCATCATGAGAAGAATCACTGCTGACAGAAACGAAATCCAACTGGATGCAACAACATCATTGCACTACTAGTGTAGCTCGTCTGGTTTAAAGCTGCAAACAACCTCATTTTGTTAGCGTTCGTTTTGTATTTAGGAAGCAGAAAGAAAATGGTTACCGGAAAGGATGTTGCAGGCTTCGTTAATGGCGTTATAGATATGTAGAGGCTGGGCTCTGTTGGTAAAGTGGAAGCTTCTTTTGACGGAATGAATGCATCGAAGCACACCCTTGGTGCGATTACCGCACCCTCGCTACGCACAGTAGTCTTTTATTTGGCTTTCGTCAACCTCGATCACCCCGTCCAGCTTTAATAACTCCTTCCCTCTGCATCCGCTACTTTTCTGCCACAGCAGTCCAACCCAAAATATATTATATTTTTATATGTAAAGGTATAAAATTATACAGTACTATAACACCTCTGCAGATATCCTTAAAAAACAATCAAACTTTCATCAACAAATATTTCCGGAGATATTACTCTACTTTTGGAAATATCTTCCGCTGGATCATTCGTTAGAGTCCATAGTCCATACCTAGTCTTTTGACATACATTTGACTTTCATATTTGTACAATATATGAGTTTTTTAACAAACATGATGATTTTAGATCTGATGACGCCAGTTATTTTATAATCAGAGTTTTCATACTTTGAGAAAAGATTGAGAAAGGAACTATCGTTTTTTCTTCTGGATAATTCATCTTTTCTCCCATGTTATTTTCTCTTTCTTTCTTTTAGAGAGAATGACCAGTTAACGGTTATCCTTACGCCAACTGCGACTCTTCGTCTAAATCAAAAGAAATGAACCTATGGTCCACACAATAAACTTACTTCCGTCAACGAATACTTTCGGATCCATCGATGATGTTTGTACATTCTAAAAACCAAAACAAATACATAGACAAGGATGGGAACTGGAACGTAAGAACCTCGTTTCTGATTAAACACTCCAGCCCCAGAATGGACTCAAAGTGATGTTTTTGGATATCAATCTGGTTTGCAAGCAGAAACATATATCCGTTAGATTATGGAAGCCAATTTAATTAATTAAATTCTCACCTGATAAAATATACAAAATTTGTAAAGCTAAACAACGACTTAATAATTAGTACAACACAAATGATGGGCTAATTAATGGTGTATTTGGAATGCTTATGAACAAATAAGAGAGTTAATTTGTGCTGCAGCATGGCCAAGCAGAAGCAAGAGAATCCACACACCGAATAACCTGCAGTTTTCCATGAATTTAATATGCTAGATTGTTCTTGGTTTGGTTAACACCCACCTCCCCCGTAATTAATAGGGGTGAGTGAGTTAACTTTGGACAGCATTGTAATATGAGGAATATAATTTTGTTATTTCGAGCATATATATATATGAGATAACTACGGTTGTGACAAGAACAAGAAAATCTAAACTAAACAAACCCCAATTAACATCATTTTCCTCGTAAAATCAAACCCATCATACATCAATTTCGGATTATTCCATCAAGAATTATGAGGCGCAACTTAGTTGGGATATTGTTGTTCTCACGTGGTTTTGAATAAAATTACATGAAAATTAACAATCTAGCATAAGTACAGAGTCCAAACATGTTATGAAAAAATAATACAAGGTAATATGTCCATGAAGAAAGAATAAGAATTTGAATCCCGACATTTATAAACAAAGTAAATCGGATGGAAAGAATCACCTCATACTAACCTATTATTAGGAGTCTTTTGAATTAGTGACGGATTTAGAAATTTATAAACATAATTTAAAATTTTAATATATGTTATTTCAAAATATTGGATATGCAATTTTTTCTTACGTTTTCCTTCTCTTAACACTTTAAGCTAGTATTTATATTTTTTACAAAATAATGGGATGCACTTCCTCTCCAGGGAGCAAAGTGCATTCGCCTCTGCTTTGATATCTCACAAAAATATAAAATATTTGGTTAATATTAATAAAAAATAGCAACAAATGTAACATGATCGAAGATATACTTTGAATTTATAATAAGTTATTCAGTACGAGATCGTGCCTAAAATAAAAGAGGTTTGTTTTTGTTCCAACAAAATAAATGGACTTTAATATAAAATAAAAAAGAATAAATTTGAGATCTCATCGGATGGATCTCCTTTGTATTAAGAAAAAGACATTGAAGAAGAGAGAAGCACAATCCAATAAAAAATAGCAGTCCACATGGATGATTGACTAAAGATTAAGTTGCAGCGTTGACTGAAGCCGCCGCTTTGAGTAGAAAGGCAAAGAGAAGAGTAGGCGTGGAGAAAAATGGGCAGTGATCACTTTCCAATGCAAACACTAGAGAGGGCGGCCACCTTTTCACCATCGCCTCCTGTTGTTCTCGCTTCAACACTCGATCTTGCAATGTCTTTATATACACTCTTGGCACGCTCTCCGCCTTGACTCCCTCCGTAAACCGAAGACCGACTAATGGTCTCAAAGGTCCCGGTCGCATCAGCATCACTGCCAAAGTCGAGTCCTGATGATGACCATCATATTTCAAGTCCCTCACTATCATTATGATGATGATGATGTTATTAATTAATCTGTGCTCACCTCTTTAGAGCTTAAATGATAAAGAATTTTGCGTTGAAACTCCTCCTTGATCATCATGCTGGTAGCGGGCTGGTCAGCTCCTAGACCATATATTTTCTTACATACATCACCATACATGGATAAATCTGGATCTCCCTGCATGCTTCAGTTTGATCAACATAGATCATATGCTAGATTTCACCATTAATTTTCCACTATTAATTTCTCTTTTAAACATATATATGTATTTATGTATGTAAAAGTGTGAATTGAAGGAAACTTAAAACGATACACATGCTTCACATTAATAACTTATTATACCATATTACATATTAGTGGGAGTGAAAGCCGGGAATTACATCTCTTTTCTTCAAATCCTACTCTAAATCTATAAGAACTTATTGAATGGTCTCAATGATAAAAAAATATTGTTTTTTATAGGACCTAAACTCAAGAAATTGCATCTATCTGTGCATTGTCAATAAATTAAAAAAAATCTAAACATATATTTCCTGGACTATTAAAAAAATTTCAAATCTATTTAAATATAAACCTTAGAAATTTATAATATAATATTAATTCATGTAACATAAAATTTCTCAAATCAATCCCACACTCCTCGAATCTTCTCTGGCCTTAAAAGTTGAATCTATCCACAGATGTTGAGCATTAAGTAGTGGTAATCACTTTCTTATTGATGACACAACTCAAGGATGCACAAATTAGCTAAAGAGATAAAGCTGATGAAGAAGCAAACCTGTTTGATAATAAATTTATGCATATAAAGATGGGTAAAAACAAGAGAGAATGAATATTATCTATAAAATGAGAGAAGAAATGTAATTACATCTTCATAATCTTGGGGGGTAACAAACCCATGTTTGAGCATAGTAGCACCAACATAAATGGCCATACGAATTTTGTTAGCAAACTTGTGTATGGCATAGGTTAAGCTTTGACCTCCAGAACTGTGTCCGACCAGTATCACCTGCCTTCGCCAAAACTAATTAACTAATAATATACATATTAGCAAATTCTTTAAGAGTAGTAGTGGTGGTGCTGAAGTTTACCTTTTGATTCTGAGGTAGGTTGGAGAGGAGGTTAATCAAGGGTTTGTTGTAGTCTTGGAAAGTGAAGATGGTGTTGGGATCGGATGGATCTATGCCCGAACCTTTAAGGTCAATACAGCTGACCTTGTGGTCCGATGCTTCCAGCAGACTCCTGATTTTGTACCAGCACCAGGCTCCATGGCTAAACCCATGCACCATAACAAAGTGAAACTTTTCACTTGTCTCGCTCATCTCTCGATCTGTTCTGTTCTGCTCTGCTCACTTTCTTAAAGAAAGACAGGTGCCTCTGCTTGCTTGCTTGCTACTTTCTTCACCTGTTGCTTAAACTTATCTCTCTCTTCTGTTTATTTCTTATTGGCTATAGCCTATAGGCATAGCTTAACTACTCTGTCCAGACTGTAGGTGATAGATGCAAATAAGGTAGCGTTTGATTCGGTGGAATATTTATGAGGGAAATTATTCGTAGACATGTCAAATGAATTTGATTTTAGTAATGTAAAATAACAGGATTGTATTTTTATTTTTTTTACTTAATTTTAGTTTGTTTTATAAATTACATGTAGTAATATATTATAAAAATTTTAAAAAAATAAATTTTAATTTTATTGATTGATTATTCATTTCAATAAATTATAAAAATCATGCTAATAAACATTATAAGTTAAAATCATCCCAATTAGGGATGATCATGGGTCGGGTTTTTAGTCTACCGACTCGAGCGACCCGACCCGAGAACAAGGGAACCTCCATCCGAGACCCGACTCGACCAAAATAAAGTTTCACCCAACCCGACCCGAATATATGAATTAGAAACTCGATCCAACCCGAAAAATAAAAAATTATTTTTATTCAATAAAAACAATGACTTAATTGGAAAAAATATATATAGAGAGGGGTATTATTGTAATTATTCCTAAATATATAAGGTAAAATTATATTTTTTGGGTCGGGTCGGGTCGGTTATTTTTCACCCTAAACTCGAACCCGACCCGACTCGAATATCACACTTAAAAAAACTGACCCGACCCGAATATATGAATTATAAATCCGATCCGACCCGACCCGAAATAATAATAAAATTATTTTTATTCAATAAAAACAGTGACTTAATTGAAAAAATTATATATAGAGGGGTATTTTTGTAATTATTCCTAAATATATAAGGTAAAATTATATATATTTTCGGGTCGGGTATTTTTCACCTTAAACTCGTACTCGACCAGAATATCACACTTAAAAAAACCGACCCGACCCGACCAAAATAAAGTTTCACCCGACCCAACCTTAATATATGAATTAGAAACCTGACCCAACCTGAAATAATAAAAAAATATTTTTATTCAATATATGAATAAGTTACCGAAAGATTGCTGAGGGTGATTGTAATGAAAGGTAACCTAATTTAAAAACATGACCGATAATATTATAAAAATTATAATAATTTTTTATAGATTGTAATTTAAAATATTATTTTTTATATTTTTCGATGGAAAATATTCTTTATAATATTTTTGATTGATAATAAAAAATATTAATTTTTTATGTAATAATTTTGATTGAATCGAAAATATTAAAAAATTAATATTTTAGATTTATTTAATAAAAAATGTTATGATTTTTATAACATTAACATTAAAATATGTCTATTTTTTATCGTTCCTTAACCTTAAATTAATTTATCATTGGACGAAAATATTAGGTAGTGATAATAGGCAAATGTATACTCTAAAATCTAATTTTCTTTTACGATTAATTTTATTTATTTTAAAATTTCATTTATAATTTTTTTATAATTAATATATGCGTTCCTCCTCAAAATTAATTTTGAATATGCTACCGCAATTTTTATTTTTTATTTTTTCATTTGCTTAAAATTTAAATGTCCAAATTCAAAGTTGTTTTCGGTATTCTTTCTCTAAATATTAATAAGCTTTGGTAGAGCACAAGGTTCTTAACCTTGAGGTCGTGGGATCGAGTCCCACGGAGGGCATTTCATAATTCGGATGTCTCTTACGGAAGCTGCTCTCAACCTGGTGTTGGGGGTAGCCTACTATCTTACCTCCCCTTACCCCATACATATGGGAAAAAGGGACAGCCAATCTATCTTAAAATGACCATCCAGCTTAGTTGGTAGAGCACAAGGTTCTTAACCTTGAGGTCGTAGGATCGAGTCTCACGGAGGGCATTTTATAATTCGGAGGTCTCTTACGGAAGCTGCTCTCAACCTGGTGTTGGGGGTAGCCTACTATCTTACCTCCCCCTTGTAGAGCACAAGGTTTTTAACCTTGAGGTCGTGGGATCGAGTCCCATGGAGGGCATTTCATAATTCGAAGGTCTCTTACGGAAGCTGCTCTCAACTTGGTGTTGGGAGTAGCCTACTATCTTACCTCCCCCTTACCCCCATACATATGGGAAAAAGGGACATCCATTTTTTAATGAGGATAAATATCAAACTACATACAAAACTAACTTTTACAATGAAATCAATTATACGTATTTCAAAAAATAAATTTAATAAGAGGATATCAAGGCCAAATTGGCCCATTACAGCTGCCGCGCAAAATTTTAGCCCATTAGAGCACCCAAATATTTAATTTGGGATCTATGACAAATTGAATAGTCCTTATGAAACTCGTCACGCCGACGTAACGAGTTTAATGAATCGTGTCAGGTAGGTCCTACTGTCTGATTAAAAATATTCTTGAGGGACTCGTCAAATAAATTTTTTATTTTGTAATTTTTAAAAGAAAATGAAAAAAATAATATTTTAATGCCATGGAACTCGTCACGCCGGCATGACAAATTCTAACGGGTATAATTTTCAAATTTTTGACCGTTGGATTGATCGTTGTTAAATGGTCGAATTTTGTTTAAAATTTCAATGGAAATTTTATAAGTACATAGTATCGGTACCATTTCAGTATACTAGAATTGCATTGACTCAAAACAGAAAGAGTAGTATCTGTACCATAACTAAGAGTATCAGTACTACAACTCAAAGTAGTATCGATATAATATATGGTATCGGTACCATTTTTGCATTATGTTTTGATAGTATCTGTACTGCCTCAGCAATATCGGTATTACTTCATTATTTTGGGTTTCAGTATCGATATATGTATCAACACTTCTTTAACAGTGTCAATACTTTTATAGCAGTATCGGTACTATTATATTTAAAAATCATTTTTGACTCGATTAAAGTTCGAAACCCTTAGTAAAAATTATTTCAAAATCTTTTCCAGTATAAGACTCAAATTTTTAGTAGAGTGAGGAGTAAAAATTGATGTTTTAACTTTAAAGAATAATTATATATGTTCGAATGATTGAATCGAATTTAATCTTAAAATTTATAAAAACTTATTAACAATTTTGTTTGGTATATCAAAATATCAAAGTGTTTTCAACAATCTCCCCCTTTTTTATATAACAAAACATTTTAAAAATTTTAAGATTTACTTTGAAAAATTACTCCCCGGTACTCTGACATTTATCTCCCTTTTTGTTAAATCAAAAAGACTCAATATGAATAAACAAGATATAAAATCCAGCTGTGAAGAACAAATGTGCCAAAATAGGTCAGGCAACATAAATAATATCCAAAATATAGTGGGCATGGTCATAAAGATAATAAGAGGTAACATAGTATTAAAAAAATGTAAAATATGATAAATATAAATCTGATAATCCAAAACATAATAGTATGATCGAAACCAAAATATCAAATGCGAAGAAATTCAAGGAAATTGAAAGTTCAAAGTATGACATTTGAAACACCAACAAAGAACAACTATCAAAATAACATGATCAATCATCCGATGGAGGATAAAGATCCGAATGAGGTGCACAGAAAGAGGCAACGTCTTGTGAAAGAGCATTGAGCCTATCCGTCATGGCATCGAATCGAGCTAGGGTATCGCGTTGCAGCTCGGTCAATTAAGTCCCCAAGGCAGTAAAATAGGACTCCATAGATGCAAACCTCAGATCTAAAGTCTCCACCAGAGAATGAAAATAGGGAGGCATAACATTACTAGCGCTCGGAGGCTCACCAGGGATGCAATTTACAGGATTATCAACATCTTGTAAAACATCATCGCCCTGAGAAGGAGCCGGAGCTGGAGCCGCTCGAGAAGAACTAGCACCAGACGTCTTTTTAGGTGTCTGTTCCCAATTTGTCCCAACTTGAGTCCATCTTGACTTGCGGAGAAAGGTAAAATCTATTGGGGTACCCAAGGGGATGGCAGCATCTAGGTCTACTTTAAGACCATCTTTGATAAAGAAATTACTAAGAAGATAACCATAAACCAAAGACTCGACTCTTTTAGAGGGAATATGGTTCACGAGCAAGATTAATTCTTTTATTGTTTTGAAAACAATGGATCCACCAAATGTCGATACTTATGAAAGAGGAGTACTTTCCTCCGGATGGTCGAAACTGGCAAGAGATAATCAATTGAAGAAATTGCTTCGTAGAAGTCAAGGATACTAGCGCTCTTTCCTACTTCTAAGGAAGAATGGACGGTATCTCGCTCATTATCAATCCCAGTTTTTTCGAGACCAAAAGCACGGGCAATAGAGTCAAAATCAATGGTAATGTATTCACCCAAGAGATAGGAACGAATACCTTCAGTTTGTGTACGAGCTTCATTTTGGATGCAAACCGCGTTAGAATAGAAAATGTGGACTAGTTGGTGAAAGACAACGAGTTTAACTTTGAAAGTGTTATCCAAATTTCGAAGCTTGTAGAAGGGGTAGGTATTTAAAGTTCATTTCTTGCATTGCTGAAAGAGAGGGGAGACAATCACCCCTAATAGCATAAGACTTAAAATAGTTTAGATATCGTGAATATAGATTTCGACGATTCAGTTGATTAAAACACGAATTTACTATGGTCATTTCAGTTGGATTGGGAGGAGGATTTGGCGGAGGGTTAGGAAGTGGATTAGCACGAGAGGATGATGATCTAGGACGTTTGTGAGACATGTTAAAGAGAATCAGAATAAATATTATACCTGTAAAGAAAGACAATACATGTATATGCGCTCAATTAATCCCAAAACTCAATATGAGTCCATAATACAAGGTATTCTATAACTAAATATTTTTTAATATAATATAATGGGCAAAAAAATGATGTGTTATATCAAAAAAACAAGTTATGAAAAATAAAAGCATATGTATACCTATATTTTACGAAACAAACGTACATGTGTTTTTTATTTAATGAAATTTCGAATTTTGAAGATTTTGTTAAAAAAGTTATATATTCTAGTGTAAAAATACAAAATACGTAAATAT